AGTCCTAGCTATAGGTCCCTGTAATAATTTATGTAAAACATTTTAATTAATGTAATACCAAATTGTTCAATAAAGACCGAGGCCAGGTCTCACTCTAAAAAAAAAAAAAAAAAAAAAAAAAAAAAAAAAATTTAATGAATATCTCTTTAATTTACTATGAGAACAGAATTTGTCATTTAGAAGAAAGTTATAGAGAAAGTCCTTGCAGTCCTAAAGGATGTCAAAATACTAAAATCGGTCTAGTGGTTACTGAGATATGGACATTTAAAGTTAGCATAATAATAGTCAAAATATTTCTTCAAGAGAGGTTTCTTGTAATTTCTTTGCAAATCAAAAATGTCATCACTATTTTGATATTGAATAGCAGGTTCCAGTGAGATTTTCTTACTAAAATATGCTTATTAGAAAAGATACGGTAGGTTTTCAAGTATATACTCTTCAAATTTCAGATCAAACAAACAAATATTGACAGAGTTTCTTTATAATTAACTAAAATTAATTATATATGATAAATTGAGAACTTATCTCACAGTCATTACCAAAATATTAATATATAATTTTTTTTTTAATCACAATAATAACAAAAGTTGCTCAACTATAGTATGATGACTATAATTTAACAGATTCTATACAAAAGTCTATACAAGACTTAACAAAATACAAATTGATTTGGAATTTTAAGACAGAGTCAATAATAGATAGTATATGAAGATACTAAATATTATATTCAGTTTATTAACTATGAAATGTATTAAGACATTTTTTATTAAAATATATGAAGACATTTAACTTTCTTGAAGGATCAGAAAGTAATGCTTTTATAAATATTTTACATATATAAATAATTATAATAAAGACTACTCTATTGCTAATAAATATTATTTATAATAATAAGAACTAATAGATATAATAGATATAATAGATATAGTAGATATAATAGAAATGATAGATATGATAGAACTAATAGATCTGATAGAAATGATAGATCTAATAGAAATGATAAATCTACTAGAAATGATAGAAATGATAGATTTCCGACACAGTAATTTGAGCCAATCAGAATCAAGTCATATATATTATAATTACAGTCAACCCTCTATATAATCACGTAGTTGGGATGATAGTAACTTTTTTTAGAAATGTGCTTATAAAGAGGTTGTGCTTATATAGAGGTTATATATATATTTTTACGATAATTTGTTTAACAAAATCAGGTGCTTATATAGAGGTGTGATTATATAAAGTGTGACTATAAAGAGGTCTGACTGTAGTGCTTTTATCAAAATCGCCCTGATCTCGTGATCTCGTGATCAGAATCACATGATCTTGTGCTCGCTAAAATCATCTCGGTGAGCTAAATCCAATGATGGTTGTTTTATCCAATTTGGTTCAGTACATCAAAAGTTATAATTAAAAATGTGTAAAACTCTTAATGTTAATACTATATATTAATGCCTGAATTTAAGCATACATTTAGAAAGATGTGCACTTATAGAGGATGCACTTATGAAGGTTTCACTGTATAAAATTAAGGTATGTTAATCTATAAGTATAGCATTTATTAGGACATGTTCTATGATTGATCTTAATAATTTAATTACTGTAATACATAAATAGTTTAATTCAACTATAAATAATCTTAGGTACCATCAGATTAAATATTTCTAAAGTCAGAAGGATACATTGGTGTTGGTTGAGGTGCGAACCTAGTGCCAGTAGAATCTTTCTCATTTTTTATATTTCCGTAATATTCGTCAATATTTCTGATTAAAGTAGAATCATCTTCTGATCCAATTATGATTATTCAAATAAACTAGAAAAGAAAATTGTTAATGAAATTTATTAGTAAATTTTGAGCAAAAATTAATATATGAAAATAAAATAAAATAAAATTAGAAAAAGTTACATTGGCAATAGCAAGTATACTGAGTCCAGCTATAAGAGTATTTATTTTAGAATTCACATTAGAAAAGAGTGAAAGGCTAAAAATACTACTAGAAACAGTAGCAATAAAAGCGAAATTGCAATTAGAAATAAAACTGATGATTATAAACGATAGAATCTATATTGATAAGCAAATTTTGATAGTTAAGGATGATCACTTTTTTTAAATTTAGATAATAAAAGCCTTAATGACTTTATATACATAATGTAAAAAATAAAGGATACTGCAAGGCGATACTGTCTTATAGCATTTTTTGTGACAATCATAAAAAGACCAGTTATGATTACAAATTGATAAATCACATATAACCAAAGGGTAGCAAAAACACCACTCATTGGAGAACTAGCAGGGGAATAACTATAGCTGCTATAAGCATTCATAGTATCATTATATAAGGCTGTGATGGCACTAGCACCACCAAGAAGCACAATCCAACCAATCTGAAAATCGCAAGCATAAAATTAGATGGAACAAGATATTCAGAAAACCAATTATATTCAAGCAAGGAAATATGGTTATACATACTCCAGCAAGGGTAATGGTAATAATATAATGGCTTTTAAGAACCAAATCTACTTGCATATTGAATATTTCTCAAAGTTTGATTCGTTATTACTAGAAAAGATAATAAACAAATTATTCAATATAATACTGTAAGACTAGAAAACATCATAGAGATGATATTTGGAAACATCAGAATAAATAAGCATATACCATTTTAATTAAAGAATTTACCTGAAAACAATTGAAAGAGTTGCTATTACAAAAAAGTTAAGAAAGTCATTACTACATATTTTAAATAATATATTCAATTTTTACATAATCTATAATTTATTACGCACTTAATTATAGAAAATCTATCTAACTGTTTGGTATGATTATACTTATTATTAAGCAAATATAAACAATTAAACGATATGTTGAGTGATTTGGATTTTAAAAAGATTTTTTTTTTTTACAAATTTTTGCAACATCCTTTTATACATTTTTAATCTTTGATACTTGACACGTAAGAAGTTTTCAAGTAACTTCTTTGATGGAGTCAACAAAGAACTTGATTGGTTTGTAGCCAATCAGCCTCTTTATTGAATTTCTTAATGTAGGAGCTTGCAAACTTCTTTTATTTTCCCGGTTTGTCCGGTCTAATACCCATATGGGTGGTTCAATGCATGGGGCGATAATAATGCTAATGCATATGCAGAGCCTAAAATGAGAGTTGCAAATATATAATGTAACAAAAAAAAGAAAAAAAACATACAAAATTCTCTGTGAACGTAGTACAAAAATTATTAGTTCATATGAGTGACGAAAAGAGAAAACCTGTAAATCATTTCACTCATTGAGTGACATGATTTACAGGTTTTCCCCTTTCGTTACTCATATGGATGTACTAACGCTAACCATTATGCTTGCTAAATATGTTAATCTGTTGTGATTATGTATTCATTGAATACATGGTATCGAAAAGCATAGGTATGACTGGTCATGTACTGAAAGAATGCCAGCTAGCCAAAGGTGCCGGAAATAAATTCAATTAAAGGACCTGAAGTCCGCAGAATACATTGTGAGTAATTTTAGCTAAGTAATTCGAACTGAAACGATGATATGATCCCAGAAAATTAGCAAGTGAGATTGCGCCAGGTATCATCGTAACAGTAGAACGAGCGAGAAGCAGCATCAGCCGGTGGTTTCCTGCCTGCTCGAAGCAGGCCGGCTGTTAAATAGGAAAATGGCAGAATCAGGAGACTATTCCAATATTTATTGCTGGATTCTGTCATTGTCCTATATTGTGGTTGTTTGTTTTCGCGTTATTGAGGTTGGGTTGGACACTAATGGTCTGTCATCGGTTGCCTGCAATTGCTTTGTAGTTGAAGATTCTGGAGCTGGCAGTCGCGACGCTTGATGGTCTTATGTTTTGACAACTAGTTGTTAAATAGTGACATGTTATTGCTCAATTGTCATTGTTTGATTATCGCTTTATTTGATCATTGCTTCTTGTAATTGTTGTCTCAGTTTCTTTTTTTTTTTTTTTTTTAGTATTACTATTATGTATTATTGCAGTATTGCTATTATTATTATTATTGTGGTTATTGTTATGACTATTATTATGATTATTATTAGAGATATATTAATTCAAGTAAGATGAGTTGTTGTTGTTATTGTTGTGTTATTGTTATTTGTAATTGTGGTGTTCAAGGTGCCATTAGGAAGTGTTGTGTGTGAGAACAGCTCAAATACTATATGATTTGATCAGTATGGCTGCTATTGTGGTTGGATGGGCCCGGATGTATCTGTAAAATGTGTCAGAACTCCACTGGCCAATTTTTTGAACCAGTATAAGTTGAACTCCTCTCATGACTAACTCTGTTGTACCTCCAGCCCTGAAACTGTGCCCAGCAACATCTTCCAATGGTAATAGTTGCTTGAGCCTGTCGATAAAGTAGCGTTTTGTTACCCATGCCCCATTAGCTCTGATGAATAGCAAGTTAGTGTTGTTGGTTAGTGGGGTTGGCTTTTGGGTAACGTATGTCTTTAGGGCACCTATTGAACAGAGCTTATCGTATGTTGGGTTAATGATGAGGGATGTTTGCTCGGCTGTTTTGTGATTTTTGGTTCATGGCAATTGAATAGTGGCGAAGGTGTGGTGGTCTACCTTCTCAAATTTTAGTGCCTCTAGAGTTGGTATTTTCTCTTGGTCTTGTTGTGTTGTGGGTAGAAGCTCTTCAAGGCATGCTAGGCCATAAAACGCTGTTGTAGCTATTGCCCAGAATACTATGTCATCTGGTTTGTTCAGGTTTAGTTTTGCTTTTATTACTTGTAGATGGTCCTGTGTTATATGGGATTTTTGGTTAACAGATTTGTGTGTGTGGTTTTTGTCAATAGTGGTTAGGAGTTCCTTAACTAGGAAATCATCTCATGTTTTCTCTCATTGAAAATGATTCATCTTGTGATGGTGCTTTAAGGCTGATAGGTAGGATAATAGGGTTGGAGGTGCGACTTTGTCATGCATGTAGGTAATAAAATTAATAAGGTGTTTTCTTGTAATAGGCCAAGTGCCACCATGCAGGTAGGTCCAGTTATTTTTATATGCTAGCATTTCATATTGCCTTATGACTGATAGGTATGTTCTGTTTGTCTTTGTTTCTAGACCCAGAATTTGAGCCACTTGCTGATCAAGAGGTTGAATAGAATTGGTAACTACTGGAATTGGTTTTCTGGTAGTTTGTTTGTTTTGGTGAGAACAAAGTAGCATCCTTTGTAGGTACCTATTGAGTTAGGGATGGAATTAGTGATACTAGGTTAGTATATATCTGTGGAATGATAGGTTGTAAGTAACGGGCAGTGGGGTTTTTGTTTAGAAATTGTCTATGGCTATTCGCGAAAGTAGGTCTGCATTTGTATTTGCTTTGCCTAGTATATATTCAATTTTGATTGAGAAACCTCCGTGTATTTGTGCTTGATATATTTGTGCTACTATGTCATTAATTGTAGATTGTTTGCAGAAACCTGAGTACATGACTTCTGCATTTGCCTGATTGTCTGTCCAAATGATGAATCATTTGTGTATCCATAGAGGTGAAAATGTCAGTATTGCTATTAGTATGGTTAGAATCTCTCGCTCTTGTATGTTGTGCTGAAGTAAGTCTGTGTCTCTAGACTAGTTAAATGTGGTGAAATAAGATTCGAATGTAGCTCCTCCTCCAAGATTAGATGCGTCAGTGAAGAGATTTTGTGTAGATGGATTGTGCCATTGCTGATCTTCAAAGAGGTGTATTCTGGACCATCCTGGCAGAGTTGTGGTCCACCATCTAATATCTGATTTCATAGCTTTGTTGATTTTTATATGATGTTTGGGGTTTCCTGTTATACTTAATGCCTGAATGAGATGTTGCATAAAAGGCCGTTCTTGTGGTAGAATTTGGCATACTCACATTAAAGACCCAACTAGGGATTGTAACTCTTTTTTGAAACACCATTGTTTGTTTAACCATTGATCTAGCTTACTGATTAATTTGCTTTTCTTGGTATCAGAGATTGTAGCTGTTAATGTCTCTGTATTGACTTGGATACCAAGGAAGGTAAGTGATGTGCTGGGTCCTTCAAGCTTGGATTGTTTATATGATACTTTTATAATGTTTAAAATTCAAAGAAACTGATCTAATTCACTTTGTGCATTTGATTCTGATATGATAAAAAAAATCACCAACATAGTGGATTATTGATCTTATTCCTTGTTGCACTGCAATCCATGTTAGAATATCTGCAAATCCGCAGAATATCCCTCTAGAGGCCCGGTTTCCAAAGGCTAATGCCTTGTCAAAATATATTTGGTCTTTGTGACTAATGCCCTGTAAAACTTGGTCTATAGGATGTACTGGAAGAATTCTATAAGCATCCTTTATATCAATCTTTGACAAATAGCACCCTTTCCTATAGTGTGTAATCCACCTAATAGCATGACTTATGTTTTCATACTGTGTGCTAAATTCGATTTTGTCGATGCTATCATTTATGCTAGCACCAAAAGGAGCTGATAAATGTGATATTACATGATACACTTTCAGGTTTGTATCTTTTTTCTTTACCAGGCCGCAAGGATTAACCTAAAATATTGTGCATGGTGGTTGGTGTTCAGAGAAGGGTCTACACATGCGTCCCTGTTCCAATTCATTCTGGATATATCTTGTAAATGACACAGGATCAATCTCGATTGACTTTAGGTTTGTCTGAATAAGCTTAACTCTGCTAACTGTAAAGTTGAATCTGAAACCGTTTTTAAGCCCATCAAGAAGATAGGATATAAATGGTTGATTGAGATGATTAAGTGTTAGATATGTGAAGGCTTGAACATTAATTGAAGTAAAAACATTGAAAACATTGAGATCTAGTTGTTTGTAAATCGCCTCTTCAGCTGCTGTAAAAGGTAGTTGTCGTGGAGAGGTTGTGGTTAAAGTGTTATTGACTGATTGCAGTGTTGGTGCTTCGCACAATGTAATGCCCCATGCTGCTTTGTATTGTACTGAGTATTTGAAATTTAATGACTTGTCTAAATCAATTGTATGAGATTAAAATTAGTGTAAAATTTAGTGAGTCTTTCTTTGAGTAGGGGTTTATATGTACTGCTATTTTGTTCTCACTTTTTTTTTTTTTTTTTTTTTTTTTTTTTGCCATTTGTTATCCTAATAATTTGTAACATTGTCTTGACTTTATGCTGTTATCCAGTTACTTGTGTTTAGCATATATGTAATATAGAACCTATAATGTTTGTTATGAGCTGAAGCTTGCTTCTTTTTTTTTTTTTTTTTTTTTTTTTGTACTGTGTATAATGTGTTTATTTTATTTTTGTATCTTTTTTTTAGCTTTGCTGCTATCAGATGGGTTGTTTTTCTTTAGATTAGACTTTTTGTAGCATTTATGCTCACTGTAATTAGACTTTTTGCAGATCAGGCAAGCATGAACTCTTCCACAGTTATTCTCATCAGCATAGTAATGTTTGTTCCAATTAATACATATTTCCCGACCATCAGGCCATTTAATATCAGGTTGGGTGGCTCAACATATACTATTTCTATGCTTTTTTACTGTAGTTAGATTGAAGTTTCTACTCTCTGCTTCAAGATCACAGTCTAAAAAATTTGAGTCCCTGTTTGTCACTAAGGTCACTCTTCGATCTTCATCATAGAACATGGCAGCATGAAAACTTTGCTTAAGGCATAGTTCATTAATATGATCTCGATACGTGTTAAGTTCCTGTTCTCTATTTTCATAGATGACAAGCACAGTGTCCATATATGCTTTAAAGGCAAGTAACCATTCTGAAATATCATTAAACACTGTGTGCTGTGACCACCTTTTTACTGAAATTGTACCACCTTCTGTAGACTGTAATGTGGGTTCATCTTTAGCCTTTTTTATGTTGTCCAGTAAGTTTGTATATGAAAATTCTTGGAGGTTTGTGTATAAACCAAAAGCAATTGCTTTTCATAGTTTAACTGAGATGTTTGGCTTGCAGAGAAGGGTCTCAATTATTCTTTGGCCTTCTGACCAGTTCATGACCCACCAGACCCGTATACTTTCAGTTTTTGCAGCATGAGGATTGGTGAAACCTTGAATATTGTAAATACCTTTGAATTTGGAATAGTCAAAAGATGGATACTTGTATCGTGTTAGCTTAAACAAATGTAAGCTCATGGGTGCTGTAGTGGTTGCTGTGTTTTGATCTTGGATGGTAACTCTTAATGCCTTCATGATAAGATCATTTAGCACTGGGGTGGAAGGGTATTTACCTGATGAATTGACAGCTTCTTTCCCTTTGCTTGTCGATGTTAGGTTATTGGTTGGTGCAATGTTGGATGGGTCTATTGGCCTTTGCAGTTTCTGTGACACTTTTCTGTGATCTACTGGTGTTGAACTGTTGTCTTGTATTGAGTTGCTAATGTTGGGGTTCACCTGGGTCACCTGAGACAGTGTGTCGTTAATGTTTGTTTGAAGCTGTTCATTCTATAGCCTTTGATTTTCAAACTGGATATCAATGTACTGTTTGATAGATGTGATAATTGCGGTAGTGAATGCGCAGATTGATTCATCGATGTAAGTTTTTATTAGTGGGTCAATTTGTGTCTCTTGCTTTTGATTATTGGCTGTAATTGTCGATGTTAATGTCGAAGTACCTGGAGTTGGCCGGAAGGTTGTGCGTGGTTCTCTTTCCTAGTCACATAGACCTGGGTCTGTGTTGCTCATAATGTGATAGTGTGTTCGTTTCTTTCACACTCTTTTTTTTTTTTTTTTTTTTTTTTTTTTTACTCGAATATGTGCCATTTGTGTATGACGAAAAATTTTTTTTTTTTTCGAGAAACTTGTTTGCCTATGATTGTTGTGTTGAAGGGGGACAGAGGGTCGAAATGATTTTCTCATCGATTCTTTATATATCAATTACGATCAGTAGCTTGTGATTACGTTTTCTTGCTTATTAATTCTTCTGCTGCTTAGTGATTTATGCGATTTGGCATTGATTGATCTCTTCTCTGATCCCGACCCATACCCTTCGTTATGATCATTTGAGTGTAGAAGTTATAGCATATGGTGTGTAACCCTTGACTAGCCCCTGACCAGTGTTACCCTTTCTTTTCGATCCGTTGACCCTTGTCAACATGCATTTATTATATGTAATTATTATTATTAGAAAAAGTCAAATTATATCAAAAATAATTGTCGTTATCCATGTCAGGAATTTTTTAATTAAAAGTCAAAAAGAAAAAAAATTGCCATCATCTAAGTCGCTTATTAAAAGTTAAAAAAAAAAAGAGCCAATTACTGTATAAAATACATCAAATCGATTTCGAACTCAATTCAAGTACAATGAGTTTTAAATATACTATTAAAGTCATGTTCCTATGAAAACTCAACTGATTTTGGACAAGCAATATCACTATCGCTATATTTTACTATATATTTTTATATGTTTTCAAATTAAATTCGCATCAGATCAAGTTTAAATACTGGGTTTTATTAGGATTAAGATATGACCTTATATTATCAGTAAAATAATATAGGAGACAGCTTACAAGTCATGAAATAGAACATATATCTTCTAAACACAATTAAATTGAAGCTTCACCGTAGTCTATGAAATTTGTTCTCGTATATGTGTGAGAAGTACAGAAGAATTCTTTGCAAGAGCCAGCACTCTCTTGAGTAATACAAGACGAATCCTGAAAGAAATTATGTAGAACACTAGCCGTATAATCTAATATAAATAAGAAAGATGAGGAATTCTTAAAAACTTGGTCTGTGGATAGTAAATGAGTAAGAGAGAAATAAATAAATAAAGATTATAGTATATAAACGAACCTATCAAGTAGTCAAATAAAAGTGCCCAATTAAAGAAAAACCCCCTAACATAATTTTATTAATCAATTATTGCAAATATTGCATATTTTAATGCTATCATAATGCAATTATAGAGGAAGTAATTATGGAGGAGTAAGACTGCATTTAGTTAAGTTTTTTGTACTATAACGTCATGCAGATATCTAGTTTAGTAAGTAGTCTTCGTGTGATCAATCGGTTTTGCAGCCCTGAACTGGCTCCACTTAACACAAGTTGAACTGTTAGCTAACTGAGCTGTTAATAAAGTAGGCCATGAATAATTCAACTAAACTGATCAGCTTATGTATTGTCCGAATGAGTTATTTGCTACTTTAATATAGTTATGGTCAACTGTTTCAGTTCTTCTTCAGTTCTTCTTGCAGCATAAAAATTATACATTGTTTCCTGTACGAAGTCCATCATTACCTTAACGTAGTTTCAATAAATAACATAAACATATTTCATTTATAGATATTAAATAATTTCGGTTTTGCCAGTTTAAGATGTTTAAAAATGAAAATATTTGGTTAATTTCAGCTTCTGCCAAGTTCAAGCATATATAACTTTTAGTAGGATTGTGAATCAATTCTTAAAACTGAGATCAATGATCATTAATAAGTAAATTCGAAGATTTTAAATAGTCATTATTCAATTGATAATGTTTATATATATATTTTGTAATTTGTAAAATTCTCTTAATACCAAATTACTACTAGGGATGGCAATAAAAAAAAATCAAATTGTTGCTAAGGATGGCAAAAATATCAAATCGTTGCTAGGAATGGCAGAAAATTATCAAATTGTTGCTATGGATGGCAGAAAAATCAATATTGCTGCTAGGAATAGCAGAAAATGATTTTATTGATTTAAACCAGGGGATATTTATGATTTAAATATGTCTAAATGTATACAGTTAAATCGAGTTACAAATTTAAGGTTGAATTTATCGCATATTGTTGGGTTCGGAAGATTGCGACTCAGTTGCTCCACAATCCAATATCTCGCATAACGTACGATAAGTAACCTTTTCGAAAGAGGGTGTTAGATTTGACTGGTGGGTGATTAAGGCTTTCGGTTACTTTGGGTCAACGAATATAAGTAGGGTAAGTCACGTGAACAAGAACTCGATCGAACAACGATGGTTATTGGGTTTTACAGGATTTATGCCGGGTATAGTGTTAGGGTTTTTATTATGGACGATACAATGTATTGGGACTTGTTTATTTATCAAGCAAACGAGACATACTGCTCCTAAGGCCTTTATTTATAATACTGAATTCGTCGCTCACAAATGCGACTTATCGATTAAAACTAATTAAACTATTTACACGTATATATTTAATATCCTTCATTTCCTCCCTTTATCCCCTATGTACCCCTTTGGATCCAAAATACCATTCCGCTCTTAAATGTAACTTATTGCACTTATTGCATTTCGTGTATTTTTCACGTGATCGGTCACGATATTCCGGTATCACAATATATGTACACACGTACAGCGTACTGTCAAAACCCAAGTAGGATCGTCATAGTGGCCTATTTACCAAATTGGTAATACGCATACCGATCCACCTGAAACATATACTCCATGACCCGATCGAGGAAGGATCGTGCGCCAAGCCCAAGTATGGAAACAAATTAGGAAAGTCGATCAAGATTACCTGTTCGCACCGTAATAGCTGGGAATGGACTGAAAACATTTCTCTTCTGTACTATTTCGACAGTGAGAAATGCTAAAGTAACGAAGGGCTGTGTATGAAAGGGTAAAAAGTTAGTACTAAACAGATGAAACAAGGTGGGAATTCAATGAATGTAATAGAGAAAGGTTACAGTCTTGTGCGTACCTTTCGTACGGTAGAATTTATTATAAAAGGAGTGTAATTTTCCCTCTTGTAAAAGCAGAGTCAGAAGAGATAATTGTACCCTCTACACAATAATAAATTTATTAATAAAGATCCCTCTAACATAAAAGATAAAACGATCTTTAAAAAGTATCTGTCCTTATCAGGTAACTCTCTCAAAAGCAGTCTTAACCCTGCCAAATCGTAACCGCCTCGCTCTCGCTTTTGAGCAACGTTACGCGACGTCAACAATTTCTTAGCGACAATTCGTCGCATTTCTTCCATCTACGTTCCCGATCCATCTAATCTGTGACAGTACGTACGTACTTACGTTGTGAAAGACACAAAGGTGGCTCTGTTGGATCTACTGTACTAAAAATAGATGTGCCGTTATAGTTTAGCGAAATACCAAAATTAGAAATCATTACATAATTGTAAATTTGAATTTAGTCCATACGTGGACGATCGTTCATAATGATGCACCTATGCTTCAAGAATGACAGATCTGCCTTTGATAACTTTGAACTTGACCGAATTCTAACTTTCATAGCATTCATTTAAAAGAATAACATGGTATTATTTTGACAGAACAATTGCTTATTTCCACTGACTTCTGACTCTAGTTTTAATATTTGGAATTGATTAATGGACATATTTCAGGAACAACTAATCCATTTTAAACAAATACTACAATTTGTAGCATTCATTTAAGCACAGAAACATCAAATCCTACAATTTGTAGTATTCATTTAATCACAGAAACATCAAATCCTACAATTTGCAGCATTCATTTAAGCACAGAATCATCTGAAATTGGATCGGCACTCTCAATTTAGCGATCACTATATTATATATACCTGGGTGTTTGAAAAGTCCCTAGATGGGCTTTTTGTTATTTGTCTTTATTAAAAGTGTTATATTTTTTTATTAGAAAAAAGACTTACATAAAACTTTTATCGAATCAAAAATATATAATTTAGTGATGAATAAGATGGTCATCTTTAGTGGCTTTCAAACACCCGATAAACATTTATTTTTATTAAACATTAAATAATATTTAACCATTAACCATAATGCGTCTTAGAATCTTTTTAATAAAAAACATAACTATTACATTTTTATTCAAAACAGAAAGAAAATTAATTTTTAAATATTATTGCGTTTTGCAAGATTTGACCTTTGCCGATCACGATAACGGAGAATTCGTAAGTTTTAAGAAATTTAACGATGTCAAATAAATACAAATATGCATAACGAATATAACTGATCGGAAATATGATTAATGAGTTTTCTTAATTACATCTTTTTGCAAAGCGCTAATACCTACTTTCACCCTAACCTAGATTTTCACTCTAACCTTAATGACATTCCGTATAATGATGCTTGGCGAAACCATTTCGTCAGGCAACTCCGAAATGACGCGATGACGAATTACGAACCCCATGATGCATTACGAATTTTGAAGTGGGGATGCACCGGTCCTGCAAAGGATCAGTCTTTGGACCGAGACCGATTGAGACAGTGGACGGACTTGCTTGAACTGGTTAATAATGCCCAATCAAATTTCTCGATTGTTTGTTTACATTTTTTTACCAAATCAAATTAGAGGGCTGAGTCCTAATAGGACCGGGACGAACCGCTGCATCCTTATTTTGAAGCACAAGATTATTATTCATTCCTTTCATAATGAAAATAAATCAACCCATATGAAGTTATTTTTTTGGTCATTATTATATCTACCCAGTTTTTTATTTTGCTGACATATCGATCGACGATTTACAACAATCACCCGTAGATATCCGATAGGCCCACAGGCATGTCAGAAATATGTGGCAAGTTGTGATGCCACTGTGCCACATATTACTTAAACTACGAATCAGATTTCAAAACGATCAGGAAACGTTTGTTTTGCCAAAAATCGCTTATTCCTTGAAAATATATGTAATAAACAAGCTTTAGTGCTATAACAAAAAGTTTTTTTTGAGCAATTTTACTATTGTGATTCCGGAATCGGCGAGTCTGTCGCTAAATTAATCCAACTCTCGCGTAACCTACGGCGGCTAAGTCGAATTAGGCGTGTTAGATTTGGCTGGGTGGTTTATCCGTAGGTAAGTTGTAATCTTCTCTTTAGGGCTTTCCTTTAACCTGGCTTCTACTAACTCTTTGTCTTCTCTTTATCTTCTCTTTATCTTCTCTTTATATTCTCTTTATCTTCTCTTTATCTTCTCTTTACGGCACAACCCGGGATTACACTACGTCGAATCGGGTTGGAACTTCCTCTATTACGTTAACGGTCTTGTCACGTGACTTGCGGCGAACGATCAACGGCGAGTTTATGGGTTTATTTGAATGAACGATAAGGGTAACAACGGGGTTTACGATAATTTATTAGTTTGTATAAGGTAGACTTTCACTGGTATTAGGGGTCGAGTATTTATTTGTTATTAGGGAATTTGTTATTAGGAATTTTGTTATTAGGAATTTGTTGTTAGGAAGGCGGGAATTATTGTTCTCCCTAGGCAAAAATGCCCTTTATTTATAATAAACGTTTTGTTTACATTTACGGTTAATTTCTTTCATAAACGCATTAGGTTTCTTATATTCTATATCCTAACTAAGTCTAATAAAACACTAATATTTCGTTTAACTCATATGTAGGCGAAGTCGGAGAAGCGACGTAAGTAACATAAGTGACATTTCCGTCACGTCCGTGTGACCTTAGATCGGGTCAAGATCGTCGCTTCGATTCGGTCACCTGTAACCCCGAAAATCGGGCTCACACTATTTAAATACCTAATCTCATTATAAATGCTAACCCAAACATTAACGAACTTTTAATTTTTTTTGCTGCGTCACAAACCTGCACACTAACATGCCTTCAAACAAGAGCTAGGGTATAGATTTGGATTAACTGGCAAATTTTGAGATAAATGCGATTTTTGCAAATTGAACGTTTGTTTTGATCTCTTTTACGTCACGTGTCCGGAAAAATCGATCCTACGCCTGATATGGTAGTGGATCAGGAAAACCCAAATTTGTAAAAATTTTGAGTTATTTGATTCAAATTAAGGTGCTGGTTTCTATCTACATACAATTAAATTTTTACTAAACGTTGATATAATAATTTATTGAGATATTTCAACTTGAGGTAATCCGATTTTTAAACTTTCGTGTTCTAAAAATAGATTGATAGCACATTACGGCGCGTTAGTGGAATTAAACAAACAATTAACCACCAAATAAAATCATTTAGTCCCAAATTTAATTTTGTTTACCAAATTATATATTAAACAATCAATGTTAACTCAGAAAAAATGGTCTAGCCCGTCTTCCCACCCCAGACGCGTCTTATTGGACATAGGGATTTATTAAATGACGAATCATAATTCGGGGAATATTAGTAGTCAAAATTTTTGAGTAATTTACAAATGCGCCGTAATGCAAAGATTGACGACTCAATTAAATTAGATTGGTCAATCAATGTTTTTGATATCTAAAAATAAACAAAAAATTCAGGGGTAAAATTTATGGTTCACAAACATTAAGTTATCATTTTCTCAAAATGGAAACCCATATAGTCTAAAGTGCTCTTAGACAAAAATTCGTTTGATTGGTTGGTGTAAATCAATTGACCAGGTAACTTATTTATACACTTTCAAGTACTTTTTGGGAACGTCAAATCATACAAGCAAAAAATCTTCACAAACATTATTTCTATCTTCAAAAAAGAACTAGAAAGCTAACTTTAAAATTAATCTTATTCACAAAAAATTTAGCATAGACATGACATTCTAAAAGAGGTACTGGAAAGAGCTACGTTTGAATTTTAAAATGCACAAAAATAAAAATAGTTTTTAACAGAACAATTGTCACTTTTTTTTTAGAGTTTGAGATTTCTGTTTTGGTTGTTTAAGCTAGATAAACTTGTTCGTATAAGAGATTTAGGTTTTATATTTAATATATTCTTAAGTTAGCTTGGTTTGTTAAAACGTGCTTAGATCTAACAGATCAATCTAGATTATAGATAGTAGGTTTAGTGATTCGAATTTTGTTTAATAGCGAGCATAGAGATGGGTTTCATGCGTGCGCATGATTGCGGAAACATGCGCATGATTCCGTTTCATGCGCATTTTATCCCATCAAGATTTCTCTCCTCTCGATCGTTTTTTCTTTTTTTTGCCTTTTTTTTATCATGCGATATCATGCGCATGAAACATTTCGTGCGCATTAATGCGCATTCATGCATTTTTCCCATCACTAAGCGAGCACCACTTTTTGCCCTACTCCATATTCGTCTATCTATCTTTTATACGTGTATAATCCAATAAATCATGTGTATTTATCGATTAATATTAAGTTTTTTCTTGAAGTTTTCGTTTCTAGTACCATAATATTATAAAATAACGAATTTCAAATTGTGTGATCTGATTGGCTACTAATCACATGTAGATCTACAAATTGATCTATGAGGCTAGCCAATCAGACGAATTTCTGTCTGAGTCTAAAGTGAAGTAGATTCTTATTTTATTGAGTTACTTTAGAGTTAGAGTCATAGGTTTTATAGAGTTATATATAAGAAAAATTTCCTTCCCGCATTTTTTAATTAACCCACCCGAGGTAGGTTTAGACTGCCGGTTTTGTATTTTTCAGGTTTTTTGTTTTTATTTTCTGGTTTGCTTCATCAAAATTCTATAATTTGATCGGTCTGATGTCACATGTAGGGGTGGGTCGGTCGGTCATAGGTTTGTGACCGACCGGTCAAAATCCTGACCGATACTATTTTAGTGATGCTATTACGCAATAATAAGCGATTTGAAAATAATAAGTTTAAATTATTTTTTCTTGGTGTTAATCAGATCCAGTAATTATATGCTTAAACAATATAGTTTATAAATCGCTTATTGAAAAATTCAAATTCTTATTTTATCTAAAATTAGATAATTAATTAAAAAAACCTTTTCATAAGATTCGATAAATAAAACCTTACTTTATTGAGAATTGAACCTTTATCTGAACTAATTTTAATATGCAAGTCATCACTATAAATTCATTTCATACAGTAAATCTACAAATACCATTGCTATATACTAAGACTTCAATTTGGAATTTATTGTATAGTTAGATATAATGGCAACTATTAATTTATCAATAACACAACCACAATAATAACTATAATACTGGATTTTCCTAGTGTAACCATCAAAAACCCCGGACACGTCATCTTTGCGGCTTATATTGCTGATTGATGTATTCAAAATTACTATCAGTTGTTATCGTTATTATTTTTTTTATGCTTAACGCAATTGATGATACCACATAAATTACATATCCGGGGGGTTTTTTTGTGGTTACGCTGTAGTAGTCATCGTACTGCAAATCAATACTGATACTAATCCTGATTAAATATGAACATAGATCTGATTAAAACTTGGATGTTTTGTCACAAACCTAGCTAATAACTGAACAGTTATTGGACCGGTCATATAACTGCGGTCGGTCGGTTATGAGTCAATGACCGGCAATAACCGACCGATAACCGACCGTGACCGACCGGACCCACCCTAGTCACATGATTCTGCTCCGACCCCTATAGTTTGTCTACAGTAAAGAACTATAAGTAATAAAAAAATCATCAATTCCAGATTCAATGTCCTTGTTAATCTTGCGGAGTTAACTTGTTATAATTGACAATTTAATAGAAAAAGTTCAAGTTCGTTGTCAATTAAAAATTATTATGTTCCTATACGAACCGATGAATCTTTATAATTGTGAATAACAATAATTATTATTCAAAATATCAAGAGGTCGGCATAAATAAGATTGTCATAATAGGTCAACCGTATGTTTACATTTTATTAGGAAATTAATTTCATCAATAGTTTCGTCATGTATCATGATTTCGTCATGCCAAATTATGTGATGAATAATATCGCATGAAGTATTTATCTCCTTATTGTTATTGCTGAAATCGTTCATCACATAGTTTGGGACGTCCCAAATAGTTTGGGTAACATCGCTAGTCATGGGTTTCGTCAGCCGAAAACCATGACGAGACCATTGCGTCAGCCATCATTAATTCTGTATTTAAATTTTGACCTGACATAAAGTTTAATTTGACGCACAACATATAAAAACTATTATATGCTTTAGAATCCTAATTCGATTAACGATTCGAACGTATATGTACCATTGCAGTTGATTATGCAAGTTAATTAAACTTCTGACAGTGAGCTTCGGAGTAATTTTAAGCTGTCACAAAATTTACGGATGATCTCCTAATTTGGAAATCTTATAAAGTGATTTTTTAATTAAAATACGTGGGACAAAATGTTACACTTGAAAGAATATTTGTTTATCATATTTCTGTATTTAACCTCAATATTTGCATATACGTAAAAATTATTATTGTTCAAATCACTGCTTTTTGTAATCTAAATAAAGTTATTGTTATTCTGTAAATAGCGATGTTGCCCAAACTATTTGGGACATATCAAATTATGTGATGAATAATCTTGTGTGAGGTATTTACCTCCTTATTGTTATTGCTGAAATCATGTGACGCTATTCATCACATAATTTGGGTAACATCGATATCTGTAAAGCATGTATAGTTCTAACAAGGTGTTTCATAATTACAATCAGAACTCCGGTTTTATTTTTCATATAAAAAAAGATCCTAATTCTTTTTCCTATTTAAGTTAGAATTCCGGTTTCCTTCTCCATGTAACAAAGATCCTTATTTTCTTTTTTTATTATTATTTTTTTGTTTATTCCATGCAATAAATGAATCTGATAAGTTAATTAAATTTGAAACCTTTCAATAAAGTAAGATTTAGATGTTTATCGGTTCACTAGATATACATATGTATAACAGTTCAAAAGTATACATATTACAAAGAATATATTCTTTAAACAAATAAGGCGTAAATTATTATTACCTAAATTTATTACATAAATTTATTACCTAAATTCATTACCTAAATCGCAGAGTTCTCTATTTAAAGAGGCTCTATTCCATTTTTATTTGATATAAAATTAAATTTCTACTAAAATTAAATTTCTGCTAAATTAAATTTCTACAAGATTCAATTTATTCAAAATATTCAAAATGAAATATTTTAGATTTATTTTACGTTTCTCTATTACGTTTATTACCTTAGTTATCACAAAGTCATACCAATATAATTTTTCAAGTCTCTCACCAGACTGTTCTACAGCCGTTCAAAATTTTCTCAACTCATCAGATTTCAATTCATGTTTTCCCTACAACCAACTCAGTAATCAAATTGATTATTTTGCAAACATTCAAGATTTATCAGGAATTGAAAGTAAAATAATAGGTGTAGAAGATTCAATATGTAAACTTCCAAAATGTTCTGACTCTGTAATATCAAATTTCAATTCCACTTTTCATTCGAAATGCTCAACTGATATCGCTGCTAAAAGAACCGATGCTTTATCAATATCCGCACTGATTTATGAATATTCACCGCTTAGGGATTCACTTTGCTTTAAGAATTCTACTGGTGGATATTGTCTTATTGAAACTTTTGAAAATTTTTTAAAAGACGGCGGAAATTATGCAAATTTGTCTTCGCAAGTGTTATGTACAACCTGCAACAAGGCAATTATCAATACTTGGGTGAATTATATTAAATCACACCCTCCTCCACCTGAACTTAGCACTGAATTTGATGTCGGATTTACTTACGTAAACTCTGAGGTCAACAAAACATGTGGATCTTCATTCATAGGTACTTTTTTTTTATATATTTTTTTGGTTCTTACTATTTTTTTCCACTTAAATCTAATTTTGATTTTTTTTTAAACAACTTCTAGATGGAAAAGTTCCTATTTCAGCAAATAGTCAATCTAGTAATGGTCTAACCATTTTCGATATAAATTTTGCAATGTTGACTGCGTCTATCTTAATGTCATTCATTTTTTACTTCTAGACAAATTTAATATGTTAATATATTATCACTAACTGTTTTTGTAATAAATAGTCATTAAAATCTAGCCAATTCATTCAAATGTTAAATTAGTAAATTATCATATCTTTTGCATTTATTAAAGTATTAGAATTAAATAAATATTATATTTATATAAATAAGATACCTGAATTTCAACTACATTATACTTTGGCAATTTAAATTTGTAAATGATAAAATATGCTTAATAACGTAATTTATAATGAAATTCGCTTTAAACTTTGAAATTCACAAGTTTAACAAAAGTATTTTACATACTAAAATACTTTCGGTACATATTTCCTTGCGCTTGCATTACTTGCATTATAAGGCAAAAAAGTTATTTAATCGATAACCTAGGATAACTCGTGATATGCTGTTCTAAATCGAATTTATAATTCCTCTCATCAAAATGTCCTAATAGTACGTACCAAAATGCAGAAATCGTTCGATTCTGATCACGGAATCACGAAATATTAGAATCAGGGACTGATTTTATGCGATAAATTTTTAATGTATTATTTTATAATTTTATCTAATTTTTAAACCATATAGTTCCGTAACTTCCCGGCAAACATGTTTGTAATTTATGTTGATTTCTTGTCTACTTTTTCATACTAATGTTAATTTGAGGTCAAGTGCTGCGAATTTTAAAATTCTGTAATATTCAGTGCTGTGTTTTTAGAATTCTGTGGTAATCTGTGGTAACTAAAAGTAATTTCTGTAGTTATCTGTGTTTTAGAGAAATTCTATTGGTTTTCTGTAAATCACAAACAATTACTGTCTCTAATAAAAACTAGTAGCTGTGTAATGTAGTCATTCTAAAACCCATACATTCTATTATCTGTATACACTTATAACTACAATGACATTAGTAATACAGATGAAGTTGCAAGACAAAATAACTGGCACTCTATTAGTTAGTCAACTTATTTCATTATTACGCAAGAGAGAATTTTGTTCTAGACTTATTAAATCATGTCTTATTTATACAAATTCTAACTCTAATAAACTACAAATTAGTGATATATATAATGCAAGATAAAAAGATACTATAATAAATTATCATAATTTGATATAAATAATTATATAATACAATTTATTTGTTTTAAAAATTGAACTCAAATAAAAATTATTCTTATATAATTAATTAAAATATATAATAATTTATTTAGATAATCTAAATAATTTAATAATATCTAAGTAGAAAATAAATAGATATCTATAAATCCAAAATATAATTCAAGTAAAATGGCATAAAAACTTAAATCATACTATTTCTAATGAATAATAACAAGAAATACTAACAAATTTGAAGAAAAACATAACTTCAAAAATCATAAAAATTATTTGTATACTATGATACCAGAATATCATGATTGATCATGTAAAAAATACATGAAATGTAATAAGTTACATTTGTGATCAAGAACAGTATTTTGAATGCAGAGGGGTAGTATGGGAGGATGTAAAGAAAAATTATACATCTTTAAAGAAATAAGACAGTACTGGAAAAATTAAATAAGTAATTGTAATTAAAATCAGATAGTTTTAAAATAATAATAAGTGTGAAGTCACATTTGTAAATGACAAATTTAGTAATATAAATAAAGGCTGAAATGGTCTTTAGAAACAGTATGTTTTTTTGCTTTATTAAATAATGAATCCAAATGCACTACATTATATATAATAAACACTAATACTATTACTATTGCTAACCTTATAAACCCTACAATGTCATTGTTCAAACTCTTGACCACATGACTTACCCTATTTGTATTCATTGATTCCAAAGTAACTAAAGCCTTAATCACCTACCAGCCAAATCTAATATCCTCTTTTAAAAAGGTTACTTATTGTACATTATATAAAATATTGAATTATAAAGCAACAGAGTCATAATCTTCTGAACCCAACAATACTTATGTAAATAACAGATATTTATATTTAATAAATAAATGTTACTATAACAACTTCAGATTAGCCAATAGTAATTAGAGTTAAGATTTAAATTATATGAAATTTTAGTTATTTTTATTGGTTGTACTAATTAATTTGTTACAAATAAGCATGTAACAGATTGTTATAATTAGATTTATTGATATATAATAATATTTAAAATTTTATAAAAATATATTAAAATAAGTAAAATTTTTAAAAAATAAAAATATTTTAAATTTATTCTATTTCAAAAATCAAACTAACAGTCCTATCTAAACAAAATTAAATTTATTGTACTATATATTATAAACTTTTTAAAAATATATAATTAAAATTCTTAAAAAAAGATTAGTTGAAATAATGTATAAAAAAATACCAAAATAGTAAACTTTATAAAACTTAAATAATTCAATAAACAAACTTATATATATTTTAAATACTAAAATAAAAAATATAAAAAATAATAACAAAAAATTATAATTAATATAAAAAATATATTTGATTTAGTTTTATTAAAGTCTTAAAACTGCTAATAAAAGAATTAAACCTTTTTTAAATAACAATTAAATTATTTTAAATCTATTTTAAGAAAGATAATTTAAAATTATTACATATTAAAATACTATAAAGTTTTAAAAATAGAATTAATATATTTGTAGCCATAGGCTACTGTAGCCATAACTAAAATAATTATATTATTTGTTTATTAGAGTTAGGTTGAGATAAGGATAAAATGTAGACAAAAGTAGATATTTTATAATAAACTTTTATAAGAACTTTTTTTTGTTAAAATCTAATAAGTAGTTTCATATACTCAATTTTGAGTTATAAATAATTTTTAATAATTTTGATAAAAGCAAATGTTTGTTTTAAATTTTTTTGATCATGTTATATTACACCTAATCTTTAAAATTAGTTGGCTTTTATGAAATGTGACTACAATAGCCATGACTACAAATATATTATTCTTTAAAAATAAATAACAAAATTGAACAAAATAAAATATTTTATAATTTATTATTTAACTAATTTTAATCTAAGTAATAAAATAACAGTATTAAATTTATATAACTATAATATAAAATTTAATATCACCTGATCATTTAGATAGTTTTTAAGTGTAATTATCTAACTGCTAATCTACAATAAAATATTACTAATATAATAATATCTTTTTATAAGAAAATAAAGACAAAAAGAAACTTATACAATATATAAAAATAAAACAAAAATATAGAAATAAATAATAAAAAATATAAATCAAGAAATAAAAGAAGAAAAAAGATAAATAAAAAAAAGAAAATTATAATTTACAAATATCAAATAGAGGCTTTAAAAATTATAAATTATACTAAATAATAATAATTTTATTATTTTTTTATTTACTTGGATTATTTAACAAAAACTATATTAAAAAGAAAAAATTTTAACTTGATTGTAAAAGGTTAATATAAAGCACTAGTTAGTTTGAAGGCAGTATATAACAGATTTTAAAACTTAAAATATATATATATTACTGTATTATTACTAATTTATATTGTTAATAAACCTGTTTAAAAAGTAAATATTGCTAATTATTTTAGTAATTTTATATATTAATCTTTAAAAAAAAATAAACTAATTTACTTACTTTTTATATTTTTTTTAAAAAAAAATAAAGATGATGGATAAACCAACTTTGTAGCTTTTGTAAGTTCTTGCTTATTATAGATGTTTCTTATAAGTTTTATAATTATATAAAACTAATATATCTAACTTTGTTATTTATTTAATAAAAATTTTTAGCTTTTAACTTTTTTTTTTATATTAAAATACTTTTAAACTATTATCACAAAGCTGAAATTTTTTTAACTCTATTTCAATATTCAACTATATATATACAATATTTTAAAAAAAATTTTATAAAGTTTAATATATTAATTATATTATTTTTATAATTTAGATTTTTGAAATTTTAATTTAAATAATTATTAAAAAGAGTTTAAAATTGTAATAATAATTATATAAACAATATTATATATTTTTTTATTAAAAAAAAAAACTCTTTCTGCAAATCCATTACACAAAAATTAACAAAAAATTTGTCTGTCTAAAAACTCTTATAACTATTTATTTTACTAAGACAACCTGTCCTGGGCTCTTAAGTAAGCTTGTTCAGCTCATCATTTTACACATATCCTGCAAATATTAAGTTTTAATAATTTAAATTCATCGAGAAAACTGTACTGACGGCCTTTGGCCTCCAGTTTATAACTTTTAATCATCTTGCAGTTTCTACTGCCTTA